CATGAGGTTATAGAGCGCAATAAATACCCAGATACAGTGGGGGGAAAAAGTATTTAGTCAGCCACCAATTGTGCAAGGTCTCCCACTTAAAAAGATGAGAGAGGCCTGTAATTTTCATCATAGGTACACGTCAACTATGACAAACAAATTGAGGGGAAAAAAAATCCAGAAAATCACATTGTAGGATTTTTAATGAATTTATTTGCAAATTATGGTGGAAAATAAGTATTTGGTCAATAACATTTTTTTTTCTCATTTTGTCTGTCATAGTTGACGTGTACCTATGATGAAAATTACAGGCCTCTCTCATCTTTTTAAGTGGGAGAACTTGCGCAATTGGTGGCTGACTAAATACTTTTTTCCCCCACTGTACTTGGTGTGAAGCAACCAGTTAAAGAAGCCAGGTAAGGACCAACTAGACTGTGGTTCCCATAGACCAGTACATTTACTAAATTGTGACTCTAAAATCCTTACTAAGATTTAACAAAAAATATTTGAGGAGGTAGTAACAAAATTAATCAATCCAGATCAAACCGGGTTCATTAAAGGACATCACTCAACGTTGAATATAAGACGACTTCTGAATATGATCAATTACTCTAAGACCCAACTCAAAACAAACAGTTATACTATCTCTCAATGCTGAAAAGGCATTTGACCGCGTCGACGGTGTCTTTTAGCAACGTTAAAGAAGTTTGGTTTTGGGGAACACTTTTTGAAATGGATAGAGTTGATATATTCAAGTCCAAAATCATCTGTTAGAACGAATGGGAATAAGTCTCATTCCTTTTTTTGCTACAATGAGGAAATCGTCAAGGAGATTGTCTCTCGCCACTGTTATTTGCCCTTAGTATAGAACCTCTGATGGAAGCTATTCGAAGTGCCATAAACATTCATGGTCTGCAGGTGGGACCAAATGAACACAAGATATCTCTGTATGCAGACGATGTCATCCTGTACATAACAGAGGCTGAATATATTCAGATGAATAGGTGAATATGGTGCAGTGCATATATGAAGTTGGTAAAACTATTGCAATGATGACATTTGGGGATGTACACTCAAGTATCAAAGACAACTACGCATTTAAGTGGACGTCAGACTATGGGAAACTATATGTGTTGAACTACCCCCGTGATTAGTAAAATCACTGAAGATCTAGACCGTTGGATGCCCATCCATATATCTCTAGCTGGATGGGTTGCTTCAGTGAATATGAATGTCTTAAAACAGTCTTGGTATCTGTTTTCAATGCTTCCAGTTAAAATTCCTGCTAAAAACTTTACTTGCTTAATGCAGCAATAGGCACATTTTTATGGCAAAATAAGAAGGCTCGTATTAGTTATAAAAACTACAGCTGTTCAAAGAATTGGGTGGGCTTGGCCTCCCTAACCTTAAATCATATTACTGGGCGGCGCAACTTAATCACATAGCATCATGGATTCAACAACCGAAGGATTTGTCATGGCTTGAAATTGAGTCAATATTGTGATATGCCTTTACATTGTCTTCTCTTTATAGCAGACCCTATTTCTATTGACAGGATTAAACAAAACCCAAGTATTACTCTTACATTGAAGACATGGAGTGAGGTTAAACAGCCAATATAAACTGAGCAATGACATTTCTAGACACTCGCCTATATTCCACAACCCAGCCTTCTTCCTGCTACTATGTTCCAAGTATTTAGGGAATGGAAAGAGAGAGGGGTTTGTAGTCTCTCAACTAACTATTCAAAGGCTCAATTTTTAAATAATTTCAAGAAATCCAGGAGGAATTAATTATATAGGTACCTTCAAGTAAGGCAATTCATTATTTAAAAAAGATTGTTACAAAAAATGACTGAGCCGCTTACGCCTATTGACGAGATGATTTAATTACTTTATCAAGGGGAAAACATTGGAACCGTTGCAAATTTTTATCACAATATCCTTAACATGCAAATATTATCTTTAGATAATCTTAGGAACTCATGGCAGGTTGAATTACAGGTGCAGATGTCAGAGGAGAGTTGGGGGAGTATATGGAAAACACTATGTAAAGCCACTACAAAGGGAGTTGTAACTGAACAAGGGTGTTTCAATTCAAAGTACTACATTGTTTTTTTATGAGCCCTGATAAACTTAATAAAATGAAAAAAGGAATATCCGCTACGTATTGGAGGCAGTGTTGACAAATAGGTACTTTATCACATATTTTGGCAATGTCCGAAAATCCAGTCTTTTTGGTGTGAAATTCTCCATGTTATACAGTACATCACAGGTATTATTATTCAACCAGACCCATATCATCTCCTTCTAGGTATTGTTCCCGTGGATACATTCCAATCCTCTCCACTTAAATTGATAGATTATCTTTTAGCAGCAGCAAGGACATGAGTAACAAAATGCTGGAAAAATGAACATGCACCCTCAAAATATATGTGGTTAGGTCTATGCAGGGAACTTGCTGACATGGAGAGAATTACATCAATCTTGCAACATAGACAGCATAGGAATGAAGGTGTTTGGTCAGAGTTCCTGACATATCGTACTGGTCTTATCCTGTAATTTCTGGGGTTTTTTGTTTGTTTCTGTTGTTTTTCTGTGGCTTTATCCATATTGTATTCTTATTCAAGCTCTTGAAATATTTGCTCTATACAGCCAAAATGTTCCCTTAACATGTGAATGTAATTACGCTCTTTTGTAACGACAGCAAAGATATGTTGTGTATGTATGGTACATGTTCTTTACAAGCTCGAATAAAAAATGTATAAAAATAAAATTCAAATACCTTTTACTGTGAACAATTTACAGCTGTTTAAGTGGCTGATGGTATTGTTCCGTGAATAGACACTTTCTTATATGGGTGGTATATTTAACACATCTGCACCAAAACAAATTACGAATGGTAATTAGTCTTACGAATGATAAGGAAAGACAAACAAGTAACATAACTTTATTGAAAGAATAAGGTTAGGGGAATACACTGTCATTCAAACCTGAAAACAAAGTGCAAGTTACATCGCTGTCATAACCATAACATTATACAACATTCATCTCAGGGATATTGTAATGAAAATGGATTTGGAATGACATAACATGATAAGAATAAGGCATTTAATAACAATAATTGGCATTTACATGGCTGTTCATCCATTCCACTAGGCCTATAGCCTTTTACATGAAGAGTCAGAACGGGAAGAATTTAAAAGCCGAACTCTATTTTAGTCTTTACATTTCCAAGGCCATGAGTCATGAATGAAACATTCTGGCATGCAGGTTGTATGGGATAAAGAAGGGAAACAAACAAACACACACACACACACACACACACACACACACACACAGTGTGCATTCGGAAAGTATTCAGACCCCTTCCCTTTTTCCAAATTGTATTTCCAGCCTTATTCTAAAATTGATTAAATTATATTTTTTTCTCAATCTACACAAACAATACCCCATAATGTCAAAGTGAAAACTTCTTGCAAATGTATTAAAAATAAAAAACAGAAATACCTTATTTACATAAGTATTCAGACCCTTTTATGATACTCGAAATTTAGCTCAGGTGCATCCTGTTTCCATTGATCATCATTGAGATGTTTCTACAACTTGATTGGAGTCCACCTGTAGTAAATTCAATTGATTGGACATGATTTGGAAAAGAACACAACTGTCTATATAAGGTCCCACAGTTGACAGTGCATGTCAGAGCAAAAACCAAGCCATGAGGTCGAAGGAATTGTCCGTAGAACTCGGAGACAAGATTGTGTCGAAGCACAGATCTGGGGAAGGGTATGAAACAAATTATGCAGCATTGAAGGTCCCCAAGAACACAGTGGCCTCCATCATCCTTAAATGAAAGAAGTTTGTAACCACCAATACTCTTCCTAGAGCTGGCCACCCGACCAAACTGAGCAATCGGGGAAGAAGGGCCTTGGTCAGGGAGGTGACCAAGAACCCGATGGTCACTCTGACAGAGCTCCAGAGTTCCTCTGTGGAGATGGGAGAAACTTCCAGAAGGACAACCATCTCTGCAGCACTCCACCAATCAGGCCTTTATGGTAGAGTGGTCAGACGGAAGCAACTCCTCAGTAAAAGGCACATGACAGTTCGCTTGGAGTTTGCCAAAAGGCACCTAAAGGACTCTCAGACCATGAGAAACAAGATTCTCTGGTCTGATGAAACCAAGATTGAACTCTTTGGCCTGAATGCCAAGCGTCACGTCTGGAGGAAACCTGGCACCATCCCTACGGTGAAGCATGGTGGTGGCAGCATCATGCTGTGGGGAGGTTTTTCAGCGGCAGGGACTGGGAGACTAGTCAGGATCGAGGGGAAATATGAACAGAGCAAAGTACAGAGAGATCCTTGATGAAAACCTGCTCCAGAGCGCTCAGGACCTCAGACTGGGGCGAAGGTTCACCTTCCAACAGGATAACGACCCTAAGCACACAGCCAAGACAACGCAGGAGTGGCTTCGGGACAAGTCTCTTGAACACGATCGACCGGACTTGAACACGATCGAACATCTCTGGAGATACCTAAAAATAGTTGTGCAGCGATGCTCCCCATCCAACCTGACAGAGCTTGAGAGGATCTGCAGAGAAGAATGGGAGAAACTCCCCAAATACAGGTGTGCCAAGCTTGTAGCGTCATACCCAAGAAGACTTGAGGCTGTAAACGCTGCCAAAGGTGCTTCAACAACGTACTGAGTAAATGGTCTGAATACTTATGTAAATGTGATATTTCAGTTAATTTTTTTATTTCTAAAAACCTGTTTTTGCTTTGAGATTATGGGGTGTTGTGTGTAGATTGAGGAAAAAATACAATTTAATCCATTTTAGATAAGGCTGTAACGTAACAAAATGTGGAATAAGTCAAGGGGTCTGAATACTTTCCGAAGGCACTCTATACTTTCCCATCTCTCTCGCTCTCTCTGTAGGACAGTGTGGTGGACCGTTGTGAGGAAACTGTAGACATGTGCACCAGGTAGTCAATAGAAGCTGTCCCTATGGTGACATGCTCCTGAGGCTGCAGACAGGGCTGACCTCACAGGACAAACTCTCACAGCCCAGGTGAGCATAATACAATAAGCCAGGGTAACAGGACAGGCAGGTGAATATTGACTGGCACACTTTTATGAAAAAAAGTGTGGGGAACCCTTTTTGGTGCTAGGTAGAACCCTCTGCAAAGGGTTCTACTTAGAACCCTCTATATAGGGTTCTTCATAGAAGCCCATGTACAGTGGGGGGAAAAAAGTATTTAGTCACCCACCAATTGTGCAAGTTCTCCCACTTAAAAAGATGAGAGAGGCCTGTAATTTTCATCATAGGTACACGTCAACTAAATCCAGAAAATCACATCGTAGGATTTTTAATGAATTTATTTGCAAATTATGGTGGAAAATAAGTATTTGGTCAATAACAAAAGTTTCTCAATACTTTGTTATATACCCTTTGTTGGCAATGACACAGGTCAAACGTTTTCTGTAAGTCTTCACAAGGTTTTCACACACTGTTGCTGGTATTTTGGCCCATTCCTCCATGCAGATCTCCTCTAGAGCAGTGATGTTTTGGGACTGTCGTTGGCAACACAGACTTTCAACTCCCTCCAAAGATTTTCTATGGGGTTGAGATCTGGAGACTGGCTAGGCCACTCCAGGACCTTGAAATGCTTCTTACGAAGCCACTCCTTCGTTGCCCGGGCGGTGTGTTTGGGATCATTGTCATGCTGAAAGACCCAGCCACGTTTCATCTTCAATGCCCTTGCTGATGGAAGGAGGTTTTCACTCAAAATCTCACGATACATGGCCCCATTCATTCTTTCCTTTACACGGAGCAGTCGTCCTGGTCCCTTTGCAGAAAAACAGCCCCAAAGCATGTGTTTCCACCCCCATGCTTCACAGTAGGTATGGTGTTCTTTGGATGCAATTCAGCATTCTTTGTCCTCCAAACACGACCAGTTGAGTTTTTACCAAAAAGTTCTATTTTGGTTTCATCTGACCATATGACATTCTCCCAATCCTCTTCTGGATCGTCCAAATGCACTCTAGCAAACTTCAGACGGGCCTGGACATGTATTGGCTTAAGCAGGGGGACACATCTGGCACTGCAGGATTTGAGTCCCTGGCGGCGTAGTGTGTTACTGATGGTAGGCTTTGTTACTTTGGTCCCAGCTCTCTGCAGGTCATTCACTAGGTCCCCCCTGTGTGGTTCTGGGATTTTTGCTCACTATTCTTGTGATCATTTTGACCCCACGGGGTGAGATCTTGCGTGGAGCCCCAGATCGAGGGAGATTATCAGTGGTCTTGTATGTCTTTCATTTGCTAATAATTGCTCCCACAGTTGATTTCTTCAAACCAAGCTGCTTACCTATTGCAGATTCAGTCTTCCCAGCCTGGTGCAGGTCTACAATTTTTGTTTCTGGTGTCCTTTGACAGCTCTTTGGTCTTGGCCATAGTGGAGTTTGGAGTGTGACTGTTTGAGGTTGTGGACAGGTGTCTTTTATACTGATAACAACTTCAAACAGGTGCCATTAATACAGGTAACGAGTGGAGGACAGAGGAGCCTCTTAAAGAAGAAGTTACAGGTCTGTGAGAGCCAGAAATCTTGCTTGTTTGTAGGTGACCAAATACTTATTTTCCACCATAATTTGCAAATAAATTCATAAAAAATCCTACAATGTGATTTTCTGGATTTTCTTTTCTCAATTTGTCTGTCATAGTTGACGTGTACCTATGATGAAAATTACAGGCCTCTCTCATCTTTTTAAGTGGGAGAACTTGCACAATTGGTGGCTGACTAAATACTTTTTCCCCCCACTGTATATGGTTCTATGATGGAGGCCACTGTGTTCTTGGGGACCTTCAATGCAGCAGACATTTTTTGGTACCCTTCCCCAGATCTGTGCCTCAACACAATCCTGTCTCCGAGCTCTACAGACAATAACTTTGACCTCATGGCTTGGTTTTTGCTCTGACATGCACTGTCAACTGTGGGACCTTATATAGACAGGTGTGTGCCTTTCCAAATCATGTCCAATCAATTGAATTTACACAGGTGGACTCCAATCAAGTGTAGAGACAACTCAAGGATGATCAATGGAAACAGGATGCACCTGAGCTCAATTTCGAATCTCATAGCAAAGGGTCTGAATAGTTACGTAAATAAGGTATCTGTTTTTTATTTGTAATAATTTAGCAAAAATTTCTAAAAACCTGTTTTCACTTTGTCATTATGGTTTATTGTGTGTAGATTGCTGAGGATTATTTTAAAAAAAATCTATTTTAGAATAAGGCTGTAACGTAACAAAATGTGGAAAAAGTCAACGGGTCTGAATACTTTCCGAAGGCACTATATAATATACACTGAGTGTACAAAACACCTTCCTAATATTGAGTTGCCGCCCCCTGCACTCAGAAAAGCCTCAATTCGTTGGGGCATGGACTCTGCATGGTGTCGAAAGCCCATGTTGACTTCAATGCTTCCAAAAGTTGTGTTAAATTGGCTGGATGTCCTTTGGGTGGTGGACCATTCTTGATACACAAAGGAAACTGTAGAGCTTTAAAAACCTGCCAGCGTTGCAATTCTTGACACAAACCGGTGCACCTGGCACCTACTACCATACCCCGTTCAAAGGAACTAAAATATTTTGTCTTGCCCATTCACCCTCTGAATCGCACACATACACAATCCATGTCTCAAGGCTTAAAAATCCTTATTTAGCCTGTCTCCTCCCCTTCATCGACACTGATTGAAGTGGATTTAACAAGTGACATCAATAAGGGATCATAGCTTTCACCTGGTCAGTCGATGACATAGAAAGAGCAGGTGTTCATAATGTTGTGTGTTCACAAACACATATAAATAATTTTCCATACACACAAAAAGTTTATTTCTCTCAAATTGTGTGCACTAATTTGTTTACATCCCTGTTAATAATCCATCCACCTGATAGGTGAGGCATATCAAGAAGCTGATTAAACAGCATGATCATTACACAGGTGCACCTTGTGCTGGGGACACTAAAAGGCCACTAAATTCTGCAGTTTTGTCACACAAAACAATGCCACAGATGTCTCAAGTTTTGAGGGAGTGTGCAATTGACATGCTGACTGTAGGAATGTCCACCAGAGCTGTTGCCAGAGAATGTATTGGTAATTTCTCTAGCATAAGCCGCCCCCCAACAACGTTTTAGAGAATTTGGCAGTACGTCCATCCGGTCACACAACCGCAGACCACGTGTATGACATCATGTGGGTGAGCGGTTTGCTCATGTCAACATTGTGAACAGAGTGCCCCATGGTGCCGGTGGGGTTATGGTATGGGCAGGCATAAGCTACAGGCAATGAACACAAATGCATTTTATCAATGGCAATTTGAATGCACAGAGATACCGTGACGAGATCCTGAGGCCCATTGTCGTGCCATTCATCTGCCGCCATCACCTTGTGTTTCAGCATGATAATGCACAGCCCCATGTCGCAAGGATCTGTACACAATTCCTGGAAGCTGAAAATGTCCCAGTTCTTCTATGGCCTGCATACTCACCAGACATGTCACCCATTGAAGCATGTTTGGGATGCTCTGGATCGACGTCTGCGACAGCGTGTTCCAGTTCCCGCCAATATCCAGCAACTTCGCACAGCCATTGAAGAGGAGTGGGACAACATTTCACAAGCAACAGCCTGATCAACTCTATGCGAAGGAGATGTTTCACGCTGCATGAGGCAAATGGTGGTCTTGCTCCCTCAACGTGAGCAAGACAAAGGAGCCGATTGTGGACTACAGGAAAAGGAGGGACGAACTCGCCCCCATTCACATCGACGGGGCTGTAATGGAGCGGGTCGAGAGCTTCAAGTTTCTTGGTGTCCACATCACCAACAAACTATCATGGTCCAAACACACCAAGACAGTCGTGAAGAGGGCATGACAATGCCTATTCCCCCTCAGGAGACGGAAAAGATTTGGCATAGGTCCCCAGATCCTCAAAATGTTATACAGCTGCATCATCCAGAGCATCCTGACCAGTTGCAACACCACCTGGTACAGTGGGTAGTGCGTACGGCCCAGTACATCACTGGGGCCTAGCTTCCTGCCATCCAGGACCTCTATACTAGACGGTGTCAGAGGAAGGCCCAAAACATTTTCAAAAACTCCAGCAACTCAAGTCATAGACTGTTCTCTCTGCTAACGCACGGCAAGCGGTACCGGAGCACCAAGTCTAGGTACAAAAGGCTCTAACAGCTTCTACCACCAAGCCATAAGACTAATGAACAATTAACAAATGGCTACCTGGACTATTTACATTGACCCCCCCCCCCCCCGTTTTTTTTTGTTACACTACTGCTACTCGCTGTTTATTACATTTACATTTTACATTTACATCATTTAGCATCTATGCATAGTCACTTTACCCCTACCTACATGTACATATTACCTCAATTACCTCGACTAACCTGTACCCCCGCACATTGACTCGGTACCGGTACCTCCTGTATATAGCCTCGTTATAGTTATTGTGTTACTTTTTTAACTTTATTTATTTAGCTAATATTTTCATAACTCTTATTTTCTTAAAACTGCATTGTTGGTTAAGAGCTTGTAAGTACGCATTTCACTGTTGTATTCAGCGCAAGTGCAAGTGACAAATACAATTTGATTTGACAACTGATCACTTAGCTATATCTCATTATAAGAATGTGTCATGACGTGTCGCCATGCATCAATTACAGTATTGTGATTTGAATCATTAGTGCTGTAACCTTTCTGTGTCAACCCAGTAAACTGTGTGCGTGGGTTAACTCCTGAGTGGCGCAGTGGTCTAAGGCACTGCATCGCAGTGCTAATGTGCCACTAGATCCTGTTCGAATCCAGGCTCTGTCGCAGCCGGCCGCGACCGGGAGACTCATGGGCGCGCACAATGGCCCAGCGTCGTCCAGGTAGGGGAGGGAATGGCCGGCAGGGCTGTAGCTCAGTTGATAGAGCATGCGTTTGCAACGCCACGGTGTGTCTGGGTATCTCCTGTAGAAAATGGCCCTCATGTTGAACTCTAGCTTTACATTTACATTTTAGTCATTTAGGGTTAAGTGCCTTGCTCAAGGGCACATCGACAGATTTTTTCACCTAGTCAGCTCAGGGATTAGAACCAGCGACCTTTCGGTTACTGGCACAACGCTCTTAACCACTAAGCTACCTGTCACCCCTAAGCTTTCCATCCTCCTTGAACTCATCTGTTCTTATGGTGTTGTCCTCACATCGGATCACAGCATACTAATTTGGTGCGACACAACACAGACAATACAATTAGTCTCAATTTCACTGGAAAGATGGAAATCAAGGTTTGCACAGAATAAGATCAAATGTGATCAGTCAATGCAGGTACAACCACCATTCTGTAAGGTGGTCATGTCCGTTAATGATAATATAATAACAATGTCCCAGTGATGTGTATACCCGTCTGTTTAGGCTGGCTGATTCCAGAGGAAGGTGGTCATTAGACTGGGCTGGGAAAGACACTGTAATTTATGTTCTGGAATCATCTCAGGTATCTTCCACTATAAAAATATAACACAAAGACAGAAACACAACTGATAAGTTAGCTTAGCTATACCTCATAAGAATGTCATAAGTCTCCATGCATAAATTACAGTATTGTGATAAGCAGATTCCATGTGAGGCTAAGTTATCATGCTATCACAACATCCGACCTCTTACCTTCTTTTCCATTCTGTCCCCCGACTACACTAGCTAGCCATTCGACCACATGCGCATCCACTCAACCTTCCATAGCAGTCTGCGCAGTGCGCTGTAGCTACACATTGTGCCTCCACTTCTCCACAGCAGTGTTGCCAACTCCTCAGTAAGGAAAGTAGTTATTGGCTGTCCTAAAAGTCGCTAGAAGTCGCTAAATGACGTCATCACATAATTTGCATAATTGGCCATGTGCATGTACTTGTGATGGATGCTTTAGGAGAGAGGAATAAAAAAAAAACCTAAATATGTTTAGAACTACAAATGAACTTTCTTCTGCCGATTCATGTTTTACATTTACATCCCACCCTGAATGTAAGCCAGGGCGGGATCAGCCAGCGGCGGCTTCCCGCATGCGCGATTCATTTGCAGTCTGGACGTGGAGGGGTGAACATCTCCTGCTCTGACTGCAGCTGGGAGGGACTGCTGCGTGAGGACTGGGCCGCCTGTGAGTGCTTTGGGACGGGGGTGACGGCAGCACCCGCTGCTCGTTGAGAAGAGTAAAAACGATACGTGCTTTCACGTCAGTCTCCAAAAGTCGCCAATAATACCAGAAAAAGTCGCTAGATTTGTCACTAGTCGATTTTTTGAAAATGTGTCGCTAGAGGGGTCTGAATACACGCTAAATATAGCGACAAAGTCGCTAAATTGGCAACACTGGTTTGCACTGATATTTCCAGTTACAATCGTCCACTCTGCTCCCCTAGACCTAGCAATCGGCGCTTCTGGTTCTCGCTAAATGAGCAGTTTGATTCTTCCGTTACAATTGACAAACGTCACATATAACGCCTCATACAAATGGTCACGTAATTCACGTAGTCGAGTGAGGCAAGCAAGCTTCCGGTTGCCTCACTCGACTACGTGAATTACGTGACCATTTGGTCCACAATAGTTTAAACAATGTCAGATATCCTGAGGTTGTTGGAGATATGTACAGGTGAGCCTTTTCCATTGTATGCAGTGAATATTACAACTTCAACGGATAACCAATAAGAAAAGCGTCTACTAAACGCCAGTCAATTGCTCATAACAGAGAGGAAGAGGCGAAGCGAGAGATTTCACTATAGCCAAAATCTGTCCAAAAATAAGCCCAATGTGTTTCTATGGGTTTATTTTTGGACCTGATCTTGTAGCCTGCCTTCCTGCCTTTGGGACAATGACTCCCATTGTTAGGGCGGAGACATGAGCGTCTTGTCATTATATAAAATAATCTATGAGCATGGGATGAATCATACCCTTATCTCGGTGTGGCCGGATCATTTTCCTCAAAATTAACTGCAACAGCAACGTTAGGCTTCAATCTCTTTTAAAACGTTTTAAAAGTGTGGAGGATTACAACTATATTTGCAACGGAATGACGCTGTGTGTTTTTCTGGGTGTTCTTTCAATGTATTACCTGCAGGTGTCGAGCTCTGCTGAGCACGGGTGTTTCTGCCAGGTAATCAATGTTATACGGCTTCCAATATTTTGCTGCTGTCTGCTAGACATTTCTATTTGTTCGATTTTTGTTGTGCTATGACGAATGCCTCCGAAACTTCACTTTTATGACACATTCTGGGATATTTTCTGATTTTCAATTAATAGCCTACCCATTGATTCTTGAGGAATATAACATATAAATGAGCTGGTACAACTACTGTCTTACTATATAATAACCTAAAATAGGTTGTATGACTCCCATTATGTTTTGTTGTTCTTAGAGTCGCTGTAAACAATGTATAACTTAAAAATATGTTTACAACAGGGATGGGCAACTGATCAATCAACAGTTAAAGGAAAACTCCACCCCCAAAATATTTTGCATCATAAGGGGATGATTTCTGTATTTTGAAAGTTACACAACTTTATTGCTGATAAGCTAAACATTTCGGGACTATGTCAACAATGGACTAATGAAACAAATACCAGAATATCGTTTTTGGGTGGAATCGTCCTTTAAAATAGTAGAATACACAAGGTGCAATTTTGGTTGTGCATCAGCTGTTTTTCTCGTAAGGTCAGTCACTGACAGTCACTCAATTAGCCCATGTCAGCAAAACATGTTTTATAGATTGGTAAATTAGTCTAGCCAGCTATCTAAACTTGTAGTAATCATGGTCGAATTACTGACCAGGAGGGCTCCCATTGATTTTGTTAGTCACTCTCACATATATATATATATATATATATAACATAACATTTCTCTCCACCCTATGGCAAAATGTGTAAAATTGCAGGAAATTAGCTTTAAAACAGAAACATTTGATCTGCGCCCCATGACAAAATGAGTAGAATTGCATGAAATTAATTAGAAAATTGCTAAATCTTCTCTCTGCCCCATGGCAAAATGTGTAGAATTGTAGCAAACTTGCCTCATGGCCCAATTTTTTTTTATCAACTGTCAAGAGGGGGGCCTCTAAAATATTTTTCTCGCAAGGTGGGTGCCTCCTCCTTAACAAAATTTCACTTAGGGCCCCCAAAAGGCTAGGAACGGCTCTGACAGCATGTGTGAGTATGCAGACCAGTGAGCCACTGCGGCCCATCATGAGTTCCAATTTTTTTTGGGGGGGCCCCCACCCCCATTAAAGTTGTTAATACCTGGTTTACAACTATCATGTTTACATCATGGACTGGCAGTAGTCTATTAATTATAGGCCCTACAGTTGAAGTAGGCCTACAGTTTATGAAGTACACATTCTTTATTTTAACCACAGGTGACCGGTAGCTTGGATGACTGTGCTTGTGATGTGGAGACAATTGATGCTTTCAACAATGAGCAACTCTTCCCCAAACTTCAGAAGCTACTTGAGTCCGACTATTTCAGGTTTTATAAGGTAAGTCAGACTTCTCACACCTGCCATTTCATGTGTCCCAACTACAGAATGTCATGATAAAATCTCTATGATATCTACGCCTTTGTTTAGGTGAACCTGAATAAGCCATGTCCATTCTGGACAGACAAGGGCCTCTGTGGTCATAAGAACTGTGCTGTGATACCATGTACACCAGTGAGTATCTTTCTAACATTGGCCTACCTCTGTCACTGATCAAATACGGATTCATATAAGTTGAGTGCATAGCAATAGAACGGATCTACCGCTTATTAGACTTGCTTTCAATGAGAATGACTGATCTATAACTCACATTTCTATGTGCATTTGGTCGGGTCGCCCATAAAGATGCATAGTGGACCTTTTTTAAGATTGTACTCCTGCTCCACAGAATGAGGTTCCAGAGGGACTCAAAACAAATGGCCACCACAGTAAGGTAATATGATTAGGAACTTAATGAAGGGGAATTATTTGAAATGATTAAAAGGGTCATATCACATAGCTACTGTAGTGCACTTAGGCAATTTAAATATGCTAAAACAGTTGAACTAAGTGTTTTGTCTGTGTATGCGCGCAGTACTCAGCTGAAGCGAACAACCAGGAGTGTGAGAAGGCTGAGAAGCTTGGAGCAGTGGACAGCTCCCTCAGGTAAGTCACGAGTTTTATGCCGAGTCTGATGTAGCGTGGCGGCAGATTGACGAGGGCGGCATTTTAAATAATAAAACCTCACATAATTCTTCCCCAAAACAATGACAATTTCTCTCAACCAGTGGCATATGGGCTTTTTAGGTGAGCGCTGATGTCGCTCTGTGATAAGCAGGGGCGCAAAATATTTTGCTTGTCCATTCCCAGCGTGCCGCTCCAGGGTGCTGTTGGAGAGACTCATCGCTGCGGTGCTCTACCAACGTTTCGGCAATTTTTTTTAATCAAACATAAATCATGTAGCAGATATAGGATATGGTAGAAAGAGGATATGGCCTTTTCTGTAGCCTACAGGCTGGAGATAAAATGTATGCCAATGTAATGAGACAGACACTTTTTACATCATGCAGGTTTCGCCGATCAAATAGCCTAACCTAAATGGCGCCCAATCAAATAAAAAATGCGCTGGGCCTCCCGAGTGGTGCAGCGGTCTAAGGCATTGCAGTGCTTGAGGCGTCAATACAGACCCGGGTTCGATCCCAGGCTGTGTCACAACTGGCCGTGACCGGGAGTCCCATAGGGCGGCGCAACAATTGGCCCAGCGTCGTGCAGGTTAGGGTAGGGTTTGGCCGGGGGGGCTTTACTTGGCTCATCGCGCTCTAGCGACTCCTTGTGGCGGGCTGGGCGCCTGCAGGCTGACTTCGGTCGTCAGTTGAACGGTGTTTCCTCCGACACATTGGTGCAGCTGGCTTCCGGGTTAAGCGGGCGGGTGTTAAGAAGCGCGGTTTGGCGGGTCATGTTTCGGAGGACGCATGACTCGAGCCTCTCCCGAGCCCGTTGAGAAGTTGCAGCGATGAGACAAGCTCGTAATTGGATCGCAATTAGATATTACGAAATTGGGAAGAAAAAGGTGTGCTGACATGTTAACAATCAACATATCCTAAAACCAGGTCAAAGTAAAATGGACAAATGGAATGGACAATCAGGCAACTCGCAACTGCTGTCCAGGAGTTTCAGCCTGTGGGTTAAATTGTCATGACCAGTAGTTTAAAGTTTGTATCTGTACATTCTTGACAAGCTTATCATAGCGAAAAAGAATATACTTCTGCATTTCCCGCTGTGTAAACACATTGATTCTCATTGCAAATATGCTCAGGATAACTCCTGATTTAAGTTGGGTAGCTGATATTCAGAGATTAAATAGCCATATTGATTAGTCACAGTAATCAGGACTAATAAAGCCAATGCAACTGCCTGTTTTAGAAACGGTGGGCCTACCACATGGATGGGCATTCATAAAATTCTATTACGGGCCAACACTGTAGGCTACACCCCAGTAAGCACAGACAGACGTCTTTTGGACATAGATTTTTTGTTCTGGTCTGGACCAAATCTGAACCAATCATGGATGTCTATGTTTGGTTCAGATGTCTATAAATTACGTCTTTTCAACTTTCATTCAGAACCGAAAATGAACCTAACTTCAACATCCGGAAAATACTTATTTTTCAACATCCGTAAAATACGTATTTTCACCTTTCATTCAAAACCTAAAATGAACCTAACTTCAACATCTGGAAAATACGTATTTGGCTTATTGGGACTATTCTAGTTTTGCGGAAGGCAGCTATTATTTTTTGTCTCTCCTAGGGCGGCAGAGCGGCCAGGACCGGGCCTGATACTACTTCACCCCTTGTGTTGGATCAATAGCTTGACATCCCTGTGGTTGTTTCTCTGTGCAGCGAGGAGACCAGGCAGGCCCTTGTGGAATGGAACAAGCATGATGACGAAGCAGAGCGATTCTGTGTGATTGACGGTAAGCTAAACATGTTCTCTTCTCAGTGAAGGATTTTGTAGAATTTAAATATTTTGAACGTTAAACTTGTCCAACTATCTGTGAAGGACTGCTAGACTTTTAACATTTATTTGTGCCTGCGGCAACAGCCTTTCATTCAAGAGGGATGTTAAAGGGAAGACATTTTAACATAAATCTTCCATCCTCTTAGCATCCTCTTGTGCTGTAGGCTACAGTATGGTAGAATAGATGCAACAGACTCATCCTCTTAATGAAGGTTAATTCATATGCTGTTTATTCTAAGATGAGGAGTCTCCTGATTCCCAGTATGTGGATCTACTGCTAAATCCAGAGCGCTTCACTGGATACAAGGGGCCGGAAGCCTGGCAAATCTGGAACAGCATCTATGAGGAGAACTGCTTCAAGTAAGACTTGGTTACACGTTATAATAACTTTCATGAATAAGTCATTTTAAATGCTTTATACATGTCATACATGCTTATGAGTTGTAATGCTTATAAATGTTCATAAATGCTTCTCTTGGATGTGAATCAGTTGCCTCTTAAACAATGAAACGGCATTGCAATTTAGATTTTGGATGTTTACAGTAGGCTACAATATGATTTTTCCTCAGACCATACACTGTGAAGCGACCTCTAAATCCTATGGTATCTTACAGTGGTAAGTCCACGTGATTTACCCACTGTAGTAATTCCATGATCTCCAAATGCAATAAATACCTTTAAAGAATAAGTGTCAAGAATATACAGTATATATTTTGTGTTGCAACCAAAGACGTTCATTTATCTTTGTTTCTTTCCACTCACAGGAACTGATGGTAAGTATCATGTTGTTTACAATTATAGTTATTTTGGACCATGGAATGTTTGTTCATTGAGCTCAATGAGTATCCCATAAAATCAATAATCTCATGTCTTTGCAGGGAAGACATTTTACAGTTGGCTGGAAGGTAAGCATTTAAACACTTGTAACATTGACCAAAACTCCTTCTAAACCATTATCAGGAGAGCGGCAGGTAGCCTAGCGGATAGAGAGGTTTGAATCCCAGAGCCAACAAGGTGAAAAATCAGCCGATGTGCCCTTGAGCAAGGCACTTAACCCTAATTGCTGTGGATAAGAGCGTCTGCTAAATGACTTAAATGTAAATTAATGACTTCCACTCTTTGGCCTATGAATATCATGAAGGACAATGTTCTGACACATTTACCCCTTTCACACTATTGTGCCGTGCCGAGCTATCTTGGTTACGCATCTACCGTGCTGGAAAAGGACAGTATGAAAAGAAAATATCAGAAGTCAACCTCATAGTGTGAAAAGGGCTGCTAGGTTGACTGACCAATGAGCCTCAGTTGTCTATCCTCCCAGGCCAGTGTGTGGAGAAGAGGGCTTTCTTTAGGCTGGTCTCTGGGCTCCACTCCAGCATCAACATACACCTGAGTGCCCGGTACCTCCTGGATGGTGAGTCACTCACACACACACACACACACACACACACACACACACACACACACACACACACACACACACACACACCTCCAGAGAGAGGAAGCTGGTTGGTACACTACATGACCAAATGTATGTGGACACCTGCTCGTCGAACATCTCACTACAAAGTTGGTCCCCCCCTTTGCTGCTATAACAGCCTCCACTCTTCTGGGAAGGCTTTCCACTAGATGTTGAAACATTGCTGCGGGGACTTGTTTCCATTCAGCCACAAGAGCATTAGTGAGGTCGGGCACTGATGTTGGGCGATTAGGCCTGGCTCGCAGTCGGTGTTCCAATTCATCCCAAAGGTGTTCAATGGAGTTGAGGTCATGGATCTGTGCAGGCCAGTCAAGTTCTTCCACACCGATCTCGACAAACCATTTCTGTATGGACCTTGCTTTGTGCACGCGGGCATTGTCATGCTGAAACAGGAAAGGGCCTTCCGCAAACTGTTGCCACAAAGTTGGAAATGCAGAATCGTCTAGAATGTCATTGTATGCTGTAGCGTTAAGATTTCCTGTCACTGAAACTAAGGGGCCTAGCCCGAATCATGGAAAAACAGCCCCAGATCATTATTCCTCCTCCACCAAACTTTACAGTAGGCACTATGCATTGGGACAGGTAGCGTTCTCCTGGCATCTGCCAAACCCAGATTTGTCCGTTGGACTGCCAGATGGTGAAGCGTGATTCATCACTCCAGAGAACTCGTTTCCACTGTTCCAGAGTCCAATGGCGGCGAGCTTTACACCACTCCAGCCGACACTTGGCATTGCGCATGGTGATCTTAGGCTTGTGTGCGGCTGCTCGGCCATGGAAACCCATTTCATGAAGCTCCCGACGAACAGTTGTTGTGCTGACATTGCTTCCAGAGGCAGTTTGGAGTGTTGCAACCGAGGACAGACGATTTTTACTACGTGCTTCAGCACTCGGCGGTCCCATTCTGTGAGCTTGTGTGGCCTACCACTTCGCGGCTGAGCCATTGTTGCTCCTAGACGTTTCCACTTCACAATAACAGCACTTACAGTTAATCGGGGCAGCTCTAGCAAGGCAGAAATTTGATGAACTGACTTGTTGGAAAGGTGGCATCCTATGGCGGTGCCACGTTGAAAGTCACTGAGCTCTTCAGTAAGGCCATTCTACTGCCAATGTTTGTCTATGGAGATTGCATGGCTGTGTGCTCGATTTTATACACCTGTCAGCAACAGGTGTGGCTGAAATAGCAGAATCCACTAATTTGAAGGGCTGTCCACATACTTTTGTGTGTGTGTGTGTATTTGGATTTGTTATTTTAGTCCTTCTCATTCTTCAATGCAGTAGTTTTCTTCTCCCTATAACTTTATTCAATCCGAACCGCTATGTGGATTTTAGGGGTAAACTTATGGATACTTGTTTTGCCTTTTGGTTAAATACCTAATCCAGTTCCTATTGAATCTTTAATCGACGTTTCTGCATGTTGCCCAGATGAACTGTTATGCACATATTTACTTTTCACCTCTTTTTGTCTGCAATGGAAATATTCCATGGGAATATATATTGCAATATGTCCATTGATGAGGGGTGTATCAAAGAACCTGTAAAGAAACAACTGCTAGCCCCAAACCCCTCCCCCCTAGACAGATAGATCTGAGAGGATTGGACAAGATGTAAGCAAGCCTATCAGAGGGCAAGGTGGAGCTATACTGCTTAAATCAAATCATCTCAGCTCTACAAGTGTCTAGGGGGTATTGGATAGTGGTTGTTTCTGGACAGGGCCAAAGTCTCACCTCCCTCCTCCTCCTCAGACAACTGGTTCCAGAAGAAGTGGGGTCACAACGTCTCCGAGTTCCAGCAACGTTTTGATGCCCAGCTGACCAACGGTGAGGGCCCAAAGAGGCTGCGCAACATCTACTTCCTCTACCTGATCGAGCTGCGTGCCCTGGCCAAAGTCCTGCCTCTTCTCCAGCGCCCCTCCTTCCAGCTGTACACTGGCCAACCCACCCAGGACAGACGACACAAACGCCTGCTCCTAGAGCTCCTCCAGGTGGCCAAGTGAGTGTACAGCAGGCAAAGAATTACTGGGTCAATCCAATTATGTACAACCACTATACAGAATGTATAAATATGTCTTTGGTTTCCAGATGAATTAACAGTATATTGATACACCATGTTAAACAAACAACATTATACTATAGCAGGGTTCCCCAACTGGTGGACTGCGGACCACATTTTTTCAGCAGGTGGTTTTATTTGGCACCCCTAGTTTTCGGATAAAAAAATATTTAAAAAAAAAAAGAAATATGTTGGACATAAAAGACATAAAAACACCAGGAAATCAGTTTCAAGTGATTGTCATTTTAAGAAATATCTTCCCAAGTGTTCCCACGCATAATAGAGACAAGTGATCATAAACAAAGGTAAGCAAGGTTTGAAATGATTGTTTTAGTCAAACATATCGGTTTGGGCTTCTTGCGGTCAATTTGCAATCTACAAATTATTTGTAATTATGTTCCGGCCCCCTGACCATCTGCTCAAGAAACAAATTGGCCCCGCGGCTGAATCTAGTTGATAATCTCTGTACTATACAGTATTATTCATGCAGTCTTCACAAGCACTCCATATATGCTTCATAAATCATGTGTAAGCAAAATCATATTACATAAAAGGTGATGTACTCTAAAGGTATGTGCTTGTGTTGTATCATCGCAGTGAAACACTCTTAACACCCCTTCAGGTCTTTCCCTTTGCACTTTGACGAGACGTCTCTGTTTGCTGGGAATAAGGAGGAATCTGCCAATCTCAAGGTCAGTATGCTATAGGCCTACAGTATAGTACTCTTAGAACACATTTAACTCTCTGGACGTTATGTAGTCATGTCTGTTGAACTACTCAACCACTATCTGTGCTTCTCTTTCTGTTGTTATTTCTCTCTCTCTTTTTCTTTTCGTTGACGTCAGGAGGATTTCAGGCTGACCTTCCGCAACATCTCCAGGATCATGGACTGTGTGGGATGCTTTAAGTGCAGGCTCTGGGGCAAACTACAGGCGAGTGAACAGGAGAGTCCTCTTAACTGTGTGTGTGATATTTGACTGCTCAGACCTTTATTGTGGTGATACAAAGATCTATTTTAGTTAGTGAGGTAATGTTGTTATTATACTGTATTGTAGAGACCTCGACCAATGTAGAGGGATTGAGGTGACTTGGGTTGTTATGAATGCTATAAGTATGCTCTCTCACTCCATGCAGACTCAGGGGTTAGGCACAGCCCTGAAGATCTTGTTTTCCGAGCGACAGATCGAGGCTCTGCCCAAATCCAGCAGTGCCCGGCTCACTTTCCAGCTCAGTCGCCAAGAGATAGTGTCCCTCCTCAATGCCTTTGGAAGGTACAATAGTCCCTGGCATAGAATTAGATATACTAGAAAAGACATGCCAGTTCAAATCAACATAATATATATGGCCCCCAGTCCTTTTAACTTTCAACCACTCTTAACTCTACTCAAACCCATTTCATACAGCAACTTCCCTGTGTAAAATAAAAGGTTTACATTTTGTTTTTCAGGATTTCAACAAGCATCAGAGAGTTGGAGAACTTCCGATCACTGCTGTCTAAGGTCCGGTAGCCTGAACCCACACATCCCTACAGAGAGCCACATACCCACAAAAGAATGACCAGGCTGATTTGAAATTATTCAAAATGCAACAACCGCATCAGCATGTAGCTGCGGTGTTTGGGGCTGCTGAAAGACACAAGTGAAAGTCCTGACAAGTGACTTACAAGGGATCTAACTAAACAAACAAAGGAACATGGACAGTAGCCAATCCCCTTTGAGCTACTTGGCAATTAGGGTGTTTTCACACCTAGTTTTGAGCTACAGTTCGAATCAGAGTTCGAGTATTTGTTCCATTGTATTTTTTTAATTTGGTCCTGTTGGTTTCATTGCCAAATGTCAAATGAACTAAAATTCCTAAACAAAACCACCTGTCCATGCAAGTCATTTGTTTATTGGACAAAGATGCTCACGTTAAATCAATCTATGATTATCATGAAGCATCACTTGTGTGTCCCAATCTTCATATTATTTTCACTTTGGTCTTCCAAAAACATGCAGCAATAGCTGCTCTAACTGCTATGTGAATAGGCAATATTCAGGAGCCTATATCCCCAGTATAGCCCCATCTACCCTAATCTGCATCAGATGCACTCATAAATGCGCTGCAACTCAGAGAATGTTTCAGAGATAACAAGTTGTGATGATGCGTGCATTTCATCAAATGGTCGCAGTCAAACAACCATGAATAGTGCGCGACTCTGGTTATTTTCCTGTGTTTGGTCTGGACTGCGTTCTCACCTGCAGCGAACCTCACCACGGTACGAATTGAATCGGAAAAACCGCTCCAAACCAATTGAGTGTGAAAGCACCCATAGATACTGTATCAGGGTAAAAAAAATATATATACTTTGCACCATTTTGCTTCCACAATGGGTTTATTGGCGAGTGGTTGACTATGTTGCCCACATCAAACATACATATGTAAAACACATTGACCAATCATTGATAGAAGTTTGACACTCCTCAGGGCCTTTCTAAGTGCTTATCCACTTGTTTCTCAATAGCCGATTGGCTGTAAGGCAACTGAATGTAATGTCATGTTTTCTTTGAAAAAATAAACATTGGCGTGTCCTACACCGTCTACATAAAGAGTGCACACCCTTTTGGTGAGGGAAAAGATAATATACAAATGAAAAAGAAAGTTGCACACATCTCTTCTTGCTGTAAGAGTAAGTAGCTTTGTCAGAAAGGCCCCGATCTCCTGTTTCTGTAGCAGTTTGATGAACAAGTAGACCCGCTGGACAGGACGCTAGTCTATCACAGGGACTTATGCTGAGTGCCAAGTAGAGAGCCATCCGGTCCTATTTCTAGAGTCTTTGGTTATGGCTTGCTCAGTGATTGAACTCCCAACCTTCCAATCTCAGGGAGGACACTATAACCACAAGGCCACTGAGTGGTGATCCACTTGCTGTGGATTTATTGAATCACTTTTTCAGATAAGAGCCTTCATCAGGGTGACACTGGATTAACCAAGGCTCTTTAGCCGAAATGTTGGTCAAATAAATCCACAGCAAGAAGATGAATGTGCGACTATCTGTTCCCTATCAAGGTCAGCACCATGGGTAGCCTTTGAAATTATACACATTTATCAATGCCGTTTCCAGTCCTCCAGCACGTCAATAATTATACAGCGAGCTCCAAAAGTATTGGGACAGTGACACATTTGGTGTCGTTTTGGCTCTGTACTCCAGCACTTTGGATTTGAAATGATACAATGATTATGAGGTTAAAGTGCAGACTTTCAGCTCATTTGAGGATATTTTCATCCATATCGAGTGAACAGTTTCAAAATTACAGCACTTTTTGTACATAGTCCCCCCATGTTAGGGGCCACAGGGGTTTTTCTTTATTTTTAGTATGTTCTACATTGTAGAATAATAGTGAAGACATCAAAACTATGAAATAACACATATGGAATCATGTAGTAAACAAAATAAAATATTTTAGATTCTTCAAAGTAGCCACCATTTGCCTTGATGACAGCTTTGCACACTCTTGGCATTCTCTCAACCAGCTTCATGAGGTAGTCACCTGGAATGCATTTCAATTAACAGGTGTGCCTTAAAAGTTAATTTGTGGAATTTCTTTCCTTCTTAATGCGTTTGAGCCAATTAGTTGTGTTGTGACAAGGTATAAAGAAGATAGCCCTATTTGGTAAAAGACAAGTCCATATTATGGCAAGAACAGCTCAAATAAGCAAAGACAAAAGACACTCCATCATTACTTTAAGACATGTTTAACACTTTTTTGGTTACATGATTCCATATGTGTTATTTTATAGTTTTGATGTCTTCACTATTATTCTACAATGTAGAAAATAGTTTAAAAAAATAAAGAAAACCCTGGAATGAGTAGGTGTGTCCAAACCATTGACTGGTACTGTAAGTTAATTTGTCCCAATACTTTTGGTCCCTTCAAAAGGGGGGACTATGTACAAAAGTGCTGTAATTTCAAAGCGGTTCACCCGATATGGATGAAAATACCCTAAAAATAAAGCTGACAGTCTGCGCTTTAACCTCTAGTGGATTTGAAATGATACAATGCCTAAGTGCTGGAGTACAAAGCCAAATCATAAAATGTGTCACTGTCCCAATACTTTTGGAGCTCACATTTGTTTTTCACCAGTACACAAACACATTTGTTTTTTTTATAATGCATTCCACTGCTAATCTGCTGTGGGTTTCCTCTGTTCCAAGTGACGCAAATGCTGTCTTTGATAACCCCTCACACTGACTGTATTGACCACATGCTTAGGAATCCTCGTGAAGGACGTTAATTGTGTTTCTGGATCAGAGAGGAATGGGAAAACAACAGTCGATTGAAAGGCCGTCTTCTGTGTCAAAACACACGGGAGCTCGAGCCCGATCTGATTTAAAACACAGATAATTCAATAATAGTCGAGGAGGGTTCAGCCAAGACACAAAACCCGATTTCGACGTCCAGTCGTCCACAGGCGAAAGAACTATGTGAGCGGTTAACGTTGGTCAGTACTAAGGAATGCAAACCGTTAACTCCTACCGCACCGGTTATGGTTGGCACCATCAGAGAAAGTGGTCGATTTATATTTATGGTTGATTTATCAGTCGCAGTGACAACCAGAGGATTCTTGAGCCTTGAGAACTGGGTCATGTTCATTAGACACAGAAGAATACACACTGAAACGGGATGAAACTACCTGGACATCCAATAAGAAATGCTAATTTTCGTTTTCCGTTGCAAAACAATTTAAAACAGCCATTACATGTCCTGATTAACACGACCCTGATTTGCTCTTTTTCTACGTGTTGTGCTCTTGAATGCAGCCTCGTTCTGTATGGGAGATCTGTTTTTATACTGTTTCCAAATGAGGTCAGAAACAGGTGACCTCTGATAGATACCACAGCCATATTTAACAAAGACCAATGGGCAAAGTCATTTATTGAAGAAATTGCCAAGAGCCTTTCCAGTCTAAAAGCAGTTTGGCCAACTAATACGGGCTGGTAAAAATAAAAGGTATTTGTGGAGAAAATCATGATATTTGCTGCTGCAGGGCTTTTTAGATGTCAAAAACATATCTTAGATTCATGTGAAGACAGCTCTCATTGCCTCTCATGCCATTTCACTCACATCCTCAAAATACTGACCAATAGCCGAAAGGGTCAAGTACTATGACCCCTTCACCTCTATCAAATCCTTTTACTGTTCGATTGGGGGTGGATTAACCAAGGTTGACCTTAAGAACATACACGCACACGCATAGTTTTGTTTTTTAAACAGTGCAGTAAAACTTTATTTTAACATGGTAGTGCTTGCATATACATCTTTAGTTATCTATGAAAGATAGGTAAACGTGTTATATTCATTGGCCACCAACAAAGAATAAGAGACAATTTATAATTATTATAAAAGGCTAAACATGCTCTTTGCGAGACAAGAGCTGAGATGGCAATATATTTCACAGAAACAAAATAAGATTAATAAAAATACAATACTTTCAACTCCTACATTTGAATGCAGTATCTCCCCAATCGTTGCTGTTAAAGGGTAATTTGTGTTCATGCTGGATAGAATGCTTGATGTTCTTGGATATGAGGGTCAAAATAAAAAGGTTTTCAGAGAACCTCTGTCAGTATTTTCCCATTGATTATAGCTGCCTGCTCACTTCTGCTTACTAACAGATTTGCTGCAACCGTCACACACGTATGCTACACATAAGCTAACAGCAACAACAAAATAACAACTTAGTTTGAGACTCCAAAGCAGGTTAAGGGAAAGATTATTTAAACCATCTGTTTGTTACTACTCCCAAATCCATGACCCTGCGGAATCCACCTCTAAAATGATTATAAAAAATAAAAAAAACAGGCTAGCTGGAATTGGCTTTTGGCCCTGGGAGGGTGAGAGAAAGTTCAACCTGAGGTTACACTTTCTCACTTACAGTCCCACTGAACACTTCCTGTATGAACACCAAAGGCCAAAGGTGCCATTAGCCCCAAACACAGATGTGATTGCATTTGCCCACTGATTGTGTTTGTCAGCTGATATTCATGGAAGGTAAGAAAACAAAATATAAAAATCACATTTTTAGAGAGCAATTCCCCTTGCCCTCTCTGAACAAGTTCTTGCAAACAATACAAAACCCTGTTCAACAGCGAAAAACAAAGGAAAGACAACCAAGAGATTTCTTACCTCCTACCTAAACCATTGATGTGCATATAAGCAAGTTTAGCAAACACATACTCACACAGAGACGAACACACAAACACACACACACTTGCCCTGTACACCTGGGCAGTACCACTAAATCGACATAAAACAATTCTAAATTAGTAGCCATGGGGTATAACAAAAACAAACATGGAATTCAGTTTAAATGGAAATAAGTAGAATGACATATATACAGCATTTTGTGCTAGACGTTTTCCAGGTGGAAAAACATTTACAGTAACATAATGGCACATTTCCAGGTGTCCCTGTATGATAGTGTAACCTGGTCATAGATCTGTCTGCGCTGTCCTACTAACTCTTATGGCCAATGGCTTGAATATGACCAGAGGAGTTGGCAAGACAGCACAAACACATTAGGGACTAATGATGGTGAGCTTGATGGCGTAAACAAGCACATGGATACAGCTACTGTATACTATTATTATTATGTTAGGGGAGACTGAGGGATATATTATAGTCAAGATAGAGAGGGAGGGTGTATTTAAGCCTGTCTATCCCTCTCTGATGCCGATTAGCCTGGCCCCAGTTCTGTTTGTGCTGTCTAGTGACAAGAAGAGTTGGCAAGACAGCACAAACAGATCTATAAAACATGTTGATCCGATCCACATTTGGTCCGTACGTTCACTTTACTGGGTCCAGAGCAGAACATTCATTCAGAAACATTATGTTCCCCCAAAGTCTATGCTCCATCAAGGGCCTCTCACCAAAACGGAGGCCCCCAGGAGCAGGTGTACCATCCTGGGATTGTCCTGCTAGGCAAGCTGGAGGCTCGAGACTCGTTTTTAGGCCCGGCTCTAAATCTGTGCGCGCTTTGGAAAAAGTGGCCTTCCTCTTTCACAGTCTTTGACAGCGGTGAAAGATTGAAACGCACAGTGTTAACACTTCCCACGGTGTCCCAGTGCACGTTAGGTTTGAATACCGAGGGCATTGCCCATGATTATAGCCTCGATTGGTGTTGGTTTGGAAGGGCATCGTCATGGATGGCTCATTGCACAGGTATCAACTAATCTTCTACAGGGAAGTGAGTCAGGGTCTAGAGAACACACAGGAACATCATGATAGTCAGATTGTATTAGGAGCCGAGTCTCCAGGATCTTGTCCTCAGAGTGTGAAGTGAGGGGATTTTTTAAGTGCAAATGTCACCTCCAGACTCATGGAGGGGAGTCTATGTGCAAAGGTGAGGCGGGGAGAACTGTCCAGTGGACCGAACCAAAATAGGCAAGGGATAAGGGGACTAAAACATAAGTGCTGGTCCACGCACTTGTCTGGTCCCTGAGAGTGATAGAGGACTTAATATTCGGTCTGATGTCCGACAAAATACAGTATGTGTGTGTGGAAAAGCTGAGATGCACAATCCACAATTCTTTCCATACAGACACTTACTTATTTTCCTCTACAGACTCTCCCCAGTTTTCAGGAATAGTAGAATGTTCCAGGACTATGGAATTAGAAACATTGGAAAGCTTTTTTAATAAAATAAATATCACTTAACTGACCACTCCCTAACCACCGCTGACCTCAAATGACCT